TTCTGCTTCAGGCACCCAAATAGTCTGGAAATTTATCTGGGAACAAAGGGATTTAACAGGAACATGGCCTGGGCCGCAGCTCCTCTCATGGCAACGCAGTGGTGGTGCTGGCTCACCCTTCAGGTCACTCGACTTCTCCGTGCTTGGTTTGCTCTGCTTCCAAGAGTCTGCGGTCTCAGACTCCCCAAAAACGGTTACAGAGCTAGTGAACTGAGATCTGCAGCAGCTCGGTCCAGTATTTCCACTTCCCAACCCTCCCCAAACAGTGTAGACACGTAGACACTCTGGACAGTTTGTGGAATTTCACCTACATCCCTCTTCCTTCATTGCACCTAAGAATAGAAATTGCACTTTGCATAAACGGCTCCCCAGCCCCTTGGACCGAAAGGGAAACGAAAGTGTGAATGCTCAGCAGTGCCCATTAAATAGTTTTGTGTTTAAATACTCTTAACTAGTTCTCCATGGGACAACTCCTCGCATTCAACACACAAAACCACCGTTAAAGATTAAAAACACTTAACGATCGATACCCCACAGAAGGATTCGCGGGACATCGGTGGAGCAAAGGGAAAAGCAACACGAAAAGTCGGCCGTTTGTGCTGCCCACAGACCAAAGGCCACCTGAGCGTCTCTGCTCAGCCAGCCACCGTGCAGGGGAGGGAAAGTTGTTTTTCCTCCGAAGCGAGGGCACCCTTCCAAGGGGCAGGCAGGCGGCTGCCGGCTCCCCGAGACAGGACTTTATCTCAACCACAAAGCAACATCTGCCATTACGTTGCAGTTTGCGCAGGGGCAGCGATTGGCTGTCACGAAGAAAAACTCCGTTTAAACCAACACAAAGCGAAAATACAAACAAGGCGAGTTCCCAACCTGAGCGCTGCAGCGCGGGGGTCGCCTGGCCAAACCCTGCCCGAGGAAACGGGGTGGGCAAGCTGGAGCCCAAGGCCTCAGCGTTCTGCAAAACAAGGGAAATAAAGCAGAGGTTGGGTTATTCGAGCCGAGATGCCACCTTACTTATGTCTAATTCCTGTACCAGGGCATTTCCTTGGACATTCCTCCCCCGCCTCCAAGGACTAGATATATTTCAAATACGTAGGCTTAGTTTTCTTCATTTTGTGGAGGAGGAATCTAGTTTGTGTCTGTATTTAAAATCACCACTCTTGCAACCAAAGAGGTGTGACTTTCTTCTTTAATTAAGGTCCTTATACTTTAATAAAAAACAATCTAAATTTCAATCCCTTTCTCTGTTGCAACAACTGCATTCACTTACTGATTTAACCACACAGCCTCTGCCAGGTGGGGAATCTGCCTACTTCTGGCACGAGGACACGCAGGAATCCGCAGGCGACGATGCAAGTGCGCAGGAAACGACTGGGTTCGGGTTTGTTGCAGGGGTAAGAAATGGCAAGACAAAACGATTTACAGCATTTCCAGTTTGCGCTATTCCCACTCCCAGTCTGCACAACCCTTTGTTCCAGACCACTGTTAATTAAAACATGCAAATGACTGCTAGACTTTTGTATCATGGGTGTTTTCTCACTTTTATTTCTAAGGTTTCTTGGGGCACGCGAGACCAGTCACAAGCCTCCAGAACAGGCTGCACAAGCCTGCTCCCTCCACCAGCTCCAGACGAAGCCAGCAGCAATCCCCCCTCATAGGCGGGAGGGAAACACAGCAGAGCACACGGTCACCAGGTTGCCTTCAGCCCTCTGCACGGGGGTTCACCCACAGAACGAGGACTGGCAGCTTTCTGGGTGAACTCCTATTCCAGCACATGCAGGAACTAGAGGGGAAAGGGTCGCTTCAGAGAGAGGAGCGTCAGTGCCCAGGAGAGTGGCAACATGTATTCTGCAGCCTCAAAAATCCAGTAGTACCAGTAGCGGGGTAGGCAGAGCCTGTCAGAGATTTCCTTACAGCCCAGGGTGGTACTCACACCGCTCATAACAACATCAAGGATGTACTGGATGCAAGAATGCTGCTTTTAGGCTCTAATCCCCCCTCTGAAAATGAAGCAGCACACCCAAAGAGCACTGTTTTGATTCTTAAAGGGCTGGGCAGAAGCCACAGGGCCCACACAGACATGGCTCACCTCAACGGGTCCAGGAGCCAGCTCTGTTTTCACATCCAGTTTAGCTTCACTCTGTCAAGTCCACCAGCAGCACGTTACACGGCATTGCCACTACCCAGAGAGGATGAGCAGCACAGCTATTAGCCAGGCTAGCATCTTTTACAAGCCTGGAATCACCCACAGTATGACTGTGATGAAGTACTACAGCTTACTTCTGTCATGGCACAGCAAATAAACCTTTCTGTAGCTTTACCGATAGCTAGATGACATTGCACTGAGAAGAAAGCATTTCTCTGTAAAAAGCTCAAAAACTTCATTGAAATTCAGATTTTATTTCAAAAATGGTCATGAACTTAATAAATTACACAATAATTTTCCTCATTATAAATTCTCCATAAAATATATTTTACAGTTTTTAAAGAAAGATTAAAAAAAAATCTTTTCCAAGTGCTGAAAAGTTTCTTGACTTTGTGTCACGCTGGTGTATAACTCTGTAGCTGCTACAACAATTTGATTTATCAAAGGTTTTAAAACAAAGATTTCAGACAACAAAAATCAAACAAAACACAGACCTCGAGGACTACCATTTGGTGTTAATCAAGGAAACACCCAGTGTCACCCAACAGCAAGGCTAAGCACCATGAGAGGGATTTCAGGTACCCCCACCCTTTAAAGTGGCAATCAGTGCAAAGAAACACTTTGGGAGTCAAAAAAATACACCCCCCCCAAAAAAAAAAACTTTCCTGTGCCATTCATTAGCATTCATTTCTGCATGGCAGGCAGGCAGAACATTAGATGTTCATCCTTTGAAACACTTCAGAGGAGAATCAGGTGATTTGCAAAGCATCTTAAAGTAGTAGTATTCTGTACTAGAACAGTATTTTAAGCTAAAATAGTTAATTCTGACTTTTGGGTGGGCAGGAGAGGCAGGAGAGAAGTTAGCAATAAAAAGCTCTCAAGTTTAACATGGAAAAGTTGTATAACCTCTTATAACTTTACTCATCAAATGACCACGCTGAAACTAAGTAGTGTGAAACAGTGCTGGCACAGATAGCGAGAGGTTTGTTTTCCTCCTTTCAGCAACAAGCTGAGTCTTCAATTGTACTGAACTCAGTTAAAATAAGAGAACCAACAGATTTCCGCTTCTAGAACATAAGAATAAAAAGATCTCTCCCTATTGTTAACTCACAGACAGGCTCCAAGTCTTCTTTTACAGACTAAGCTCCCTGCAGGGAAGGAGCGATGCTGGGACATCTATGCAGGCAGCATCCTCAGTATGCCGCAGTCGCCTCCGTCCCTGCCAATTCATGCTGAAGCGAGGTGCTCTGCTGCACTGGGGAGCACTGTCCCCTGAGACATCAAAGCCTATTTGTCTGAGAATCACTGTTTTAGACGACTTGCCTTAAACAATAAAGTGAAGCAAAAGAAGAAGAATTAAGGACTAAGGCCCTGTGGGTAACTGTCACCTGCTCTACACAGCACCAGGTAAGAATCAGCTGTAAGTCTGTAAAGCCTCAGAAATTTGGTAGAATCAGAATTCTTTGCTTTTGGAAGAAAAAAAAATTTTGTTTGTGCTATTTATTCACACTCGGTCAGAATAAACACCGACTGATCAGAACTGCTCTCAGCACTAAGAGGGAGCAGATTTGAGAAGCAAATTATACAAGGTAATACTTACAGCAGTTTTCAGGTAAGATTTGGGGAAAAAAAACATTAAGTTGATTTTTATTAAGAAAATTGCCTTTAAAGCTGAAAAAAAAGGCCAATTTTAGACTCTACTTTTTCCAAAAATGATGAGAAAGGTCATGGCCCTGCACCCAAAAGAACAAAAAGTTACACTCTTACAAAGCAGCTTCTGCTGCCTTACAGTGTCAGATGGCCTCAGTGAAACCTCTCTTAGCACACCCATCTGCTTCTGCACAGTAAGAGCTGGGGATAAGCAGCCTTCCAACTTCTTCAAAGCTTTCCATCCTACCATCTGTGGTCTTAAGTAAATATTACTTCTTTAAAAGGAGGAAAAACAAATCCAAAAAATTGGCCAAGGCTGCCACACAAATTGGATACACCTTTCACATACTTGTTACGGAGTTTTCTCCCGTATTTGAGAACAGGCATGTTCTACAAGACAGTCACCCCTTTATCTCCTCATCACTACCAGGTCAGAGGCAATGCCAGAAAGGAAGAGGCCATGACCAGTATTACTAGATTCAGTTAACAGGAAAGCTATGCCACCACCACATTTTGAAGAACCTTAAAAATAACGCTCTGGATTTCCTGCTGGAAATCTGCTGGATTTCCTCATCCACGTTTCCATAAACTAAGCCCACAGTACTCCGCTATTATAAATCCTCAGGGTGCTACTGGATTATAGATACAAGAGCAGAGAGCATGTTGTGAAACTGTACATTAACTGATTAATAGAAGTATTTGATTACCAGAAGAAAGCAAAATCAAATGATTAATGAACTGCCAACATGCTAGCACCTGATCGCATACATTTTTAATTTGACTCCCTTGGTGATGAGCTCATTAGGCTGTAAGTGCTAAGCTTGGCCACATCAGCACTTTAAAAACTGCTGATCCCCTTGCATTGCATTTTTTGTCTACAAAGTCAAGTCTCAGGCCCTATCTTTGAGCTTAGATAACAAAAATAAATAATAAAGTTATTCAGGCCTGGAGAAGAAGGAATGATTCTCAATCTATCTTCTTCACCTAGTTTTCTAGCAGACCCCAATCATTCAGACCCATAGCAAATAATTTAAGAAAAGTGGCATACACTCCCAGTCACTCGTATACACAAATATATACACAGAATTATTTTACAAAGCCTGAAGATTTGCACAACCAGCATGCAAATCTCTCTTCTTTCCCCCTCCCCATGAAAGTTCCAAATACTGACATAGGAAACTGGAATGTACGAAATACTCCGTGACTTAGTGCTGGAAATCAAGTCTCGGCTCTTAAGACATCCCACTGCCAGCATACACAAACGAACATCATCACATCTTACACTTGCATGTAACATCCTGGTATTATACACATCAATGTATCGTTAACACAATGGCCAACTCACATTCCTATCACTTATGAAACTCAAAATGAGATTCATCTGGTAGAAACTACACCCTGCAGGTTTGAGTTCAGGCTCGTTTCTTTTACTGTCATTAAGTTGCACCATCAGTTAGGTGAGAAGCAGCTCTATCGAGAGAGACCCGACACGGCAGGTCACGTGTCCCAGCTGCTGTCTTTAAAAGCTATGTTGACTAATCGCAGTTCTAGCTCAAAAGCATCGGGTCGGTCCTGCGGGTTGGCAGCCAGCATTTCCTTGATCAGCTGTTTCATTCGTGCATTCATGGATTTTTTCTTTACGGGGATGAGCAGTTCCATTTTAGGGTTTTCTAGGAGCGCCTCTCCAACAGGCACGATCGCTGTCCCCTGCTTGACGTAACTCCCCAGAAGTTCTTTCTTTGTTTCTGTATCTATGAATGTGATTCTTTCCAACATTGCCCAGATTATAATCCCCAATGCAAAGATGTCTGCTTTGGCGGTGTAGTGTCCTTCCCAGACTTCAGGGGCCATATAGAAGTCAGTCCCACATGCAGTTGATAGAAAACACTTATTTACGTTAACTGGTTCCTCGGGATTCTGTCCTGAGGCTGAACATACTTTACTCAGCCCAAAATCCGCTACTTTCAGGGTCGGCTCCAAGTCACTAGCATCCATCCTGCTCTGAGATATCAGAATATTGTCAGGTTTGAGATCACGATGAATAATCTGATTTTTGTGTAAGAACGCCAGTGCGCTGCTGAGCTGAAGCATGAAACTGGTGTTGGTCTTGCGGTTTGGCTTTCGGGACAACAGATACTCATTCATATCCCCTCCATCACAGAAATCCATTACAAACCAGAGGTAATAAGCGCTTCTGGGGTCAAAGACTATTTCTCCTTTTAATGAGGTCTCTACAAGCTGCAACAAGGAAAAGAAATGTCGTAACTACCTGATGGTCACAAGAACATAAAGATATGACAGAAAAATGCACAAAGTTTGGTTCTTCCTCTCGGTAATCCAGAGAGTAAGATATTGCAAATGGTGGAAACAAAACTATATAAAGTTTATGATGTAAAAAAAAAAAAAAAAAAAAAAATCACAATGTATTTGACAGCCTCCTTTTTGTGCGTGCGAAGCATATCAAGTTCACGCTCCTGCCCAGAAGCTAGACCCAGATAACAGTATTTTAAAAGATACCAAGTGGCCATTGCACTCCCATCTGTTTCAGCTGGACAGTGGCCCACCTCAGTAAAGCCCGTCCCACCCATTCTGCTAACAACTTCAATGTACAAACACAGTTTCAACAAGTAACTCCATACAGTGTGCCACTGGGCTGTATTTGTCCTCCGCTGAAGAAGCAGCGTCAGAACGGATTTTTAAAGCCTATTCTCCATTCCTTACACATCAATGTATTCTAGCAAGTGTTAACACAGGATCCTTTAACTCAGGAGAATGCTAATCTACGGGCATTGCTGAACAGCTGCTGCACGTAACACCTTTCCCACCGTCATGACCCACTAGCTATTTTCTAGAATATAAGCAGTGAGTAGCTCGAGCAGCTGGTTCTAATGGCTGCTTCATACAAAAAGCAAAGTAAAACCAGCAATCAGTTTTACTAATCCTGTTTACACAACTACACATTTGCCTCTTCAGCTCCTCTGAGGTAGCTCTTAGGGAAGGTAAGTCTTGCAATTATTTCTGTTAGCAGTAAACCAAACGCAGCTCCGACAGGCTTCCAAAAATTAAGGTAGCTATTAATATTTACAGAGGCATTTTAAAGTGCTTTAAAAAAAGTGACTTTTTCCATCCAAGAGCAAAATTACTAGCAATTTATAGCTACCTTTAACTACGAGCACAACTACTATGGACAAACTTAAAACAGTAAATCCATGTTAGAACTAGAAAACTACATATTTCGGGTTTACAGTCAGTAACAGTGAGATTAAGATATCAGAGGACAGCAGGGAGTCTCCTTTGCCAAGTGAGCACCAACACACAGCTTTCCAGAAGCTGGACTTGCACAGTTAAGAACGGCAAGACAACAAAATCCACTACCACGTCTGTGACAGTGGCAAAGCACCAGAGGACCAGGCTAGTTCAGGACTCTCACTTTACTGACTTGGTTCATCTGACACCAGTTTAGCATCTGCCTCAAAGCCCTTCAGGAGACACTAATACCCCCTCCCCGTCCAGCCTCCTCACGCACTGCGCCCATACAGCTCTGTAACGTAATATCACCTGGGGTAGGGAGAGGGGAGGGCAAGCCAAGGGAGATCCGATTTTCTCTATTTTAGCATATGCTGTTACAAAGTGATCCCAGTTCTCTTCAGAGGCAGCTCAGCTCTGCCCTTTGCTCTTCTCTGCTCTCTAGAGCAGGAAAACAATTTCTAGTGCTTGCACCTATTACCAACACCCCCAGACACAGGCGAGATCTACACGCCACACTGTTAACAGGCACTACCATCAAAAACCAATGCTGCAGGTGATCTGAAAGCTCTTCCCCACCTTGCAGTTCCACCCTGGTTTTTTTAAGCTCCTCCCTGTAAAGCTGTCCACAAGTTTGATGTAATCTCTCACAGATACACTAACGACTAGGAAGGTAAGGCGCTAGTTTCTCCCACATGAGCTGGCCAGTATTATTTTACCCTAATCCCTTCATGAAAGCGGGTCAGTAACAACTACCAAGCCACAGCGAGTTTACAAAGGCAAGAATCCTCTTTCTCAGGCTTGTACAGCGCTCGGCACAATGGGACCTGGACAGCCGTGAAGGGTTGTCAGATGAATGTTCACTAACAAAAGGTCCTACATTAGACATGCAAGAATGACAACAATAAAAACTGAAATGATAAAAGCTGACTAGGGATAACACAATAAACATTGAGCAGGCTTCTGACTTTTTAAACCAGAGACACAAATTTCTGCCAGGGGATGATTTATAGTTGGGGCACCTTCTTGACAAGGGAATGAATCAGATTATCCTCCAAAGTCTTTCCAGACCTACTAGTTCTTCAAAAACATGCATCTTCAAACTTAAAAGGCAACTTAAAGGTCCCTTTCGGTAGCCACATAGGGCTAATTATATTTATTCTCTTATTTATCATACCTTTACCTCTCTTTAAAGAGATTAGTAGTTATTTATTCAAAAAAGAAAACAGCTCACCACATGCTACCAATTGCTTATTATTTCTGAAAGAATTTTAAGTGTTGGCTTCCTAAATCAAGATGGTTACTTCCTCTTCCAAGGACATCCGAGATTAAGAAATTCTTCAGAGCTCTGTCCTAAGACACTGGTACACGTCTGCTCATTAACCCTGCAGCAGGGCTTCTACCAAGTAATATGACAGCCTGCACCTCCCTTGTGCTTTACCTGTGGCATTTCCTCAAATTATCAAAGCAGATTTGCATTAAAAAAAAAAACCTCCAAATCCTGGAGTCTTTTAGAGTGGCACGGCTTCAAACTACAAGATACAGGTTGTTCAATAGATAACGCCTTTAAAAGATATAAAATAATTTTTGGGTGTCAACAACACGAATGATACTCTCTCCTAACTAAGCATACCTCAAAAAAAAAAAAATCTCAGCTACCCGCCTCCTTCCCTCCCAGCTACACATCCATAATAATTACTTCCACCCCATTACCTCAGCTTCATGTACCTGTAAATAAAGGGAGGAACTGGAGCCATGGGACATCTTCTGCACCATACCATCTTTCTGCAAGATGCACTCCTCCAGGTGAATGACGTTGGGATGCTGGCTCTTGATACTGCTAAGTGCCCAGAACTCACGCAGAGCTAGTTCCACATTCTCTGGAGCATGGCACCGAATCTTTTTCACCGCGACCCGTGCAGAGGTCTTCCTCACGACTGCTTCGTACACCACACCATAACTGCCACGACCAACCTCCCGTATTAGATCGTACTTAGGCTGGCTACTCACCATCTTCAAGATCAAGGGTTCTGGGGAAGGGGGAAAAACCCACAGAACTAAAACTTATGAACAAGAACTGGGCTGTATTTTCCCCCATATGGCTTGGTGCAGCAACATTAGGCCTACCAAAACCCTGCAATTAACAGGGCAGTGCCTCTGAGCGTTACACTGAATGCAACGCTGCATTTGAGTGCTAGAACATTCCAGAAGCTGTTCTATAAACCTGTACTTGTTGCCACAGACTAGTTAAAAATGAAATGACATCATTTTCATGGGACTATTACGATTTCAAATACAGCCCAGTTTTCAAGGTGGCAACAATTCAAACCTAGACTTGTATTGTGCCAAGACAGCACTATCGCATATGCTCCTGCTCCTTTCTCTCAGTGTCTTCCGTGAACATCTGCGGGAATAATAGTACGGTATCATGCTCTCCATCCACACCTGGGATAGCAGAGAAGAGGTTCTAGTTGAAGCCTGTGGTTGGGCAGCAACAGATTTAATTAACACCGCCTTTTATGGAGGTGACTGCATAAGTAAATGGTTCTGTTATAATTTAATAATGAAATTCTTTTACTGATACTCAGACAAGAGGATGCTTTGGATCGCTTCCAATTTATTTTTTAATGTTACTATGATTTTTCACCTAGTCTCCTCTGAATGAGGAATCTACGGTTACAAAAAGTTAAAAAAGGTAACTGATTGCAGAAGCTTGCACCCAGCATCTAACTTTCACTTTGTGCTCAACAGGGCAAGGACAAAAGTTAAGATATTGCTCTGTAAGTAAAACGAGACACACACGCACAAACAAAAACGGCCACCAAACACTGCTACAGATTTATCACCCTCCCTGCACACCTCCCTGCAAAATTACAAACCAAAACACACCAGCACCACCTTCACACAACCAAACCAAAATGGGACACTGACTATAGACAGGGGAAAAAGAAAAAAGTTTGGCTAGCCAATTATCACTGGCCAAACTGAATGAAACACACACACACAAATCACAGCTACTATATCAGAACTAAAACAGTTTGTAAGATTGCCAGTGATAAATGTAATTCTCTTTATGTCAGTAAACCAGGCAATAAGGACCACATCGAAACACCCTGTTATTGGTAGGAAGTTTTCAAGTATTTCCACTGGTTTAGGTACTTTTTTTTTTTTAGAAAAAAGAAAAAAAAAAGAAAGAGAGAGAGAAAAAAGGTATCATCAGTCTCATGGCAATACTACAGAGACATTTTAACCTTTCAGCAAAGTTCTGTGATATACATTTAAAAGAGCATTTTGAACTGAAATGTGACGTGCCCAAGAAACGCATGACTCTCAGATTCTGCTCACGAGATGTATTGAGCCTGTAGCTGTAGCAGGACTATGAGGAACAGATTAAGATTACAGCCTGAACATTAAGATCTGATGGGCCAATCGCCCTTACCATGCTGGGGAGAAGAGCAGGATCTATAATCTCACCAGCGGCCAAATAATTCCTGAGGAAAAGACCGCGTTACTCAAACACTATCACATCAAGCTCAAAATGAGCAGAAAACGTCCCCCCCGTGTTGAGAGTCGGTTAGCTGTGTGCTGTTACCAGAGAGGATCTGTCATTCTGCCAAGCGTCGGGGTTGCTACCTGCCTTCCCTCACCCCCACAGCGGGCTAGGCCGGTCTGGAAAAACCGAGGTTTATTGCCTAACCCAAGGAGAAGCGCTGCCTGCTCCCCAGGGCAGCTCATGGCAAGCGACAGGGCCCTGGCAGCGGCGGCGGGCACAGGCCAGGCGGTGCAAA